TAATATTGACAATTCTTTGTATAACCAAACATATTTCTGTTGTGTCCCCCCATCATACACAAATGATAACACAATTCTGAACCTCCATATTGCTTATACTATTAGAGATTGTTTATGTTGATATGCTTCCTTAGTATTTCCTTGTCTGTTTACCTACCTATCAGCCACATAACATTACATTATGATCGCATATTGATGGATATGCAGGCTATTTTCAATATTTTGCTTTAAGAACAAAGATTATAATGACTAATTTGTATATTTTGCATAATTCCAATCATGTGTGAAGGACAGATTCTTAAAAGACAAACTGTCAGGTCAAAGGGTTTGCGCATTTGTAACTTTGTTAGATTTGGCCAAAATCATCATTTATAGAGGCTGTACCAGTTTACATTACCAACAACAAGGTAATAGTGACAGGATGCCCATGGTGTTATTGTTGATAGGTGAAAACATGGTCTCAATGAACAGTTTTAAGTTGCATTTTTCTTAAAAAATGACACCGAGCAGCTTTACATTTGTTTATATTGTATTTCCTTTCTGTAAATAGTCTGCTCTTTTCGTTGCTCATTTTTCTATTGTGGTGTTGATCACTTTTCTTACTGATTTTTAGAAGGCTCTTTATATATTAGCAATATTAGTTCTTTCACGGTACGGTTTGCAAATATTTGGTCATCTGTTTTATGACTCGTAATCCTAATTTTGATGATGTAGCATTAAAAAAAGTTTACCTGATTTATCAGTCATATCGGGGTTTGTGTCCCACTTAGATAAAACAGTGGTGACAGTGGATATTCTTTAAGGTAATGTTTCTAGTATTTTCCTATTAAGCATAATATTGGCTTTGAGGCCAAGAGAGATTATTTAGGATTTTTCCATCAACAATCTGAAGCAATACAACCCTGTAGATTTTACATGGGTGCTGTGTGTTTGTTGTGTTCTGCAATCAATGTTATAACAATATAGAAGCTTTTGTGTCTTTTTTTATGTTCTATGACAGTTTAAATAGTATTGTAACAGCACATTCTTTAAAAGTTCAGGAAAATTCTCCTAAGAAAATAGTTAATAATTTTCTAGGGTTTACTGAAACATCTCTCTATTTTGCTTTATGAAAGTTGACTTAAGATAGCTCTATTTTCTGGAGTAGGTTTTGGGAAATTATATTTTCTTAAAAGATGATCTGATTCTTCCCATTTTAGGTAAACAAGCTAAATCTAATCAAGGAAATAAGGGGGCATGAATAATAAGAACCACCACAGACAACAGAAAAAAATCATTGAGACTACTTTGTTCAATTCCACACAACTCAATTTTAAAACACATTTGCTGTAATGTTGTTAAATAATCTTATTATAAATACAGAATATTTTGTTTTATGATCACCATTCTCCATAGATTTAGGGGAAGTTAATCTAAAAGAACATGACCCAAAGCTCCCAAGCTTACACCAATGGCATAAATGTAGAAAAAGATACGCCAAGCCGCCTTATGTACCTCTCCTTATCACACACCATTATAACCAAGACAAAATACCAGGCAACAAAGGTGAAATAGCAGCACCCAGATAACTAGATGAATCAGAAATAGAGAACAGATGAAGAATATTTTTTAGAAGACAGAACATTCTTACAAAACCCAATTGTGTTCTTTTTTGTTCCTCAGTTGAAAAATCTATACAACAGGTACAACTAAGAAAGGTCAAAATGTATTTATAGCAATGAACTAAAAAAATTCACTTCTGTTTCCTGAAGCAAACATAAAATAAACAAAGCCATTATTAGAAATGGAGGAAACTGCCCAATTATTCCTATCTTTCAACTGTTTATTCCTCTATTAAATATTTATCAGAAGTGACCAATAGGGTCATAATTCATTAATTTAGACTAAGAGGAGTTCAGTCAGATGTGGTAAGTCAGAATTACAGACTACAAGAAAGATTATGACATCTTAAAAAGTTAAATTAAGCCAACAATTTATTAGTTAACAGAACCTTTTAGAAACAGTTAAAAACAGAGATAAGTGATCACTAACCTATGTATTATTTATATATAAAATGCCACTACTGAAGTCTAACCTATCACAGCCCTTCCACTTATGAGAGGTAATAAATATCCTGCTGTTTTAGCCAGTTTCAATCAGTAGTGTTTTCCAGCACCTAAAACATCTAGAGAAATCTTTGCGCATGTATCTTGGCATACAAGCTCACATATAGCTATAGGATACATTTTTCAAAGTGGAAATATAAGATAAAAAGAATGAGTGTTAAATTTTTATAAATGAGTGCCAAAATACTCTCCCAAAATGCACAGACTCACCAAGAATTTATGAGCCAGTATTTCCTTACATGTCACTACATGTTGAGATCTGCAAATTTGATAGGTTTAAAGAGGGTAACTCTTTATTTTTTATTTTTCTTTTAAATAATGCATTCATATTCTTTTAGTCAATTTTTCTATCAACTACTTTTTCCTCTTGATTTGTAAGTTTCCAAATTTAGAAATCAGTTCTTAGACTTGCCATTCATTTGCAAATATTTCCACCATTTTTTTTTTTTAAATCTGCTTTGGTATATCATTCAAGGTGACATTTTAAAGAAATTTTTAACAGACTTATTTTTTAGGGGAGTTTTAGGTACACAGCAAAATTGAATGGAAAGTACAAAAAGTTCCCATATAACTCCTGTCCCATTCCACATGACCTCCCCAATCATCAACCTCCCCAACACCACAATGGTACATTTGTTATAATTAATGAACCTATTTTTGACACATCATTATCACCAAAAGTCCATGGTTTACATTAGGGATAATTCTTGTTGTTATATGTTATATGGGTTTTGACAAATATATGGTGACATGTATTCATTCATTTGAAGTACCAAAGAGAAGAGTCTCACTGCCCTAAAAATGCCCTGTGCCCCACCTAGTCATCCCTCCCTCCCTCTCCTATAACCCCTAGCACCACTTATCTTTTTACTGTTTCCATAGTTTTGCCTTTTCCGGAATGTCACATATAGGTAAGTCCTCACTTAATGACATCAAAAGGTTCTTGGAAATTGTGACTTTAAGCAAAATGACATATGACAAAACCAATTTTTCTCCCCTCATCAATATTATAATGAAGTGATGTTATTCAATGACATGCTGTACATTGTTTGGATGTATCAGTTTATTTATTGACTCACTTATTAAAGATATCTTGGCTGAGTCCAAGTTTTAGCAATTGTGAGTAAAGCTGCTATAAACATCTGTATGCAGGTTTTTCTGTAGACA